GCAAGGCTCGAGGTGGACAGAAGTTGACTGGGCAGCGGGAAATGAAGTCACTGACAACCAAACTGGGTGCCGTTGGTCCGACTCGCCTTCCGGGTTGGAGTCCACGTGACTCACCTTGTGCTTGACTCGAGACTTTGCAGGACATAGCTAGCAACCAAAACCAGTGGCGCGTCTGCTGCCGTCTTCTAATCGGATTGCCTGTTTAAAGTGTGTTTGGTGCTGAGTTATCTGCGGGGTAATGGCTGATTATGACGCGTGGCAGTGAAAGCCGCAAGGAAGCTCTCTCGCCGATGCCGCCTTATTTTTGAACGATAGCCAGCTGTTTGTGACGGTACTGATGAAACGTGGCTCTTATCCACATGCCACCCGGTCTTATTCCTTCCGCTTCATACTGGATATAGGGTGTGTGGATGCAACCGGGGATGGTGCAGTGCAAGCCACCCATGGTCCCTCTGTAGGCGTAAGTGTCTTGTGGCTGTCCCCGTGACAAGCAAATGCGGAACCGGATGTCGCCAGGAATATATATATATATATATATATATATATATATATATATATATATGTATATGTATATGTATATATATATATAACGCTTGACCAATGAACAGTTGGCAGAGTGCCAAAACAAATGGGAAACGAGAAAAAACGAGAGGGAGAAAAGGCAGTCAGGAAGAGTCTCACATGTTCGTCACTGGGTACGGTTCCGGGCGATAGCGTATTCAGTCAGGTGTGCTCACTGACGTTGGGCCACCAACCTGCGAGTCTGGAACGCCCAACCGTGGCTGTACAATGTCAGCTTCTTGACACCACGGACCCAGGTTGCACCTTGCACACCTCTCCGTCGATTTCAACCAACGCTGGCACATGCAAACAAAGCGCGGCTGAACAACCGTTGAGCAGGCATACGGAGAAAGTGCCCGAGCCACCGGAGCGTACGCAAGAAAATTGTGCATCTTGGTGGTCGGCGAAGGCTCTGACTTGAAGATCCGACGTCGAATGTCATCATTGCTAATACGATGCTGCCAAGGTGCATCAGCGATGCTCCGGAGGCAGTGATGAACAAAAATAGACAACCTTTGGGCATCGGTCGCTCGAATGTGTCAGGTCTCGCAGCCATACAGCAGCACTGCTCGTACTGTAGCGTTGTAGACTTGACATTTTAGAGAAAGGATGAGATTACGTCGGCGCCAGAGATGTCGGGTGTTGGCAAAGGTAACTCTGGCTTTGGTGATGCGCAAATGGATCCCATCCGTCAATTCGCTCACACTAATGCAACTCCCGAGGTAAATTTGTCGACTACTTCCAAAGGGAAGCCGGGGAGGGTGAGGGTAGACTAGCTTCTAGTCAGTCATGGAGGAAGACCTTGCACTTGGAAGGGGAAAATGTGTCGAACTGCGATACAGATATCTCCAACCTAAGCAGCATATTCTGAGCAGCCTGCGAGGAGTCACAGATTACGGCGATGTCGTTAGCATACTCCAAGTCAAGGAGCCGGCCACCCTGAAGTAAGTCGAGACCACTAGGATCAGTTTTCAAGAGGTCACGGTAAGATGTCATCCATAGCAAAGTTGAACTAGAAGGATGATGCGAAGCACCCCTGTCTCACGCCACTAGTTATACTAAGGGAGTGGGGGGGGGGCGAAAGTCCGCCGTACACCCGTACCCGGCCCGAGAATGAGCGGCTTGATGTTAACATACTTCGCGGGCACTCCTGAACAGACTACTCCAGAGAGCAGCTCTATCGACTGAGTTAAATGCTGCACGTATGCCCAAAAAACGAACGATGGAAGGCCGATTAAAAGTACGACGGTGTTTAAGCGTCTGGCGGAGCGCAAAGATGTTATCAAGACGACCCCGACCTGGGCGAAACCCAGCCTGTTCCTCACGTACGTGCTGTTAGCGTACACAATGAGGCTTCGCAAAAGCAGGGGGTCACCAATTGTCAATGATGAATGAAATTGGTGAGGTGGATATGCTGGAGACAATCACCGCAACTATGTAAATTAGAAAAGGCTCTCGACGACCGTTGTATGCTTAACTTAATGGATCTCCGAGGCATCCGTCAGTATGATGGAAACAAGTAAATAGGTTCAGTTGGGGACATCCTTCCAACGCGTTCGTAACAACCTAAAGCGACGACTGATAACGAATCTTAAAATTGACCGGAATGTTAGTGACGGCAAGCGTTAGTGTGATGGAGAAAGCCAGTGCTATTGGGCATAGTCAAGTGTCGTTTCACTTCATCCGGAACACGTGTCTGAGAAAGCCCTCAGTTAATGACAAAGTAGTCGAGGAAGATGGACAGCTGGTTCATTCTCCACGTCATCGACTAGTTCGTTGGGCGGAACATGTTGAAGGGCAGTTAAACAGGCCTGATGCGATACTGCCGTTTGTTGAATTACCTGAGCTCACACGGCAAATGGAAGTCACACCTACCACTTGAGAAGAGATTCGACAAGGTATTGAAAGGAGTCGTGGACCCTATCAAATCGCTTGCATCATTGCTGATGGTTGGAGCACCTCTTATTGACTAGACTAGATGCTCTATTCAGTACGACTTGGGACACTAAAGGGGATGCTTCCAGATTGGTGAGCGTCAACATCAAAAAGGACCACTAGACTGTGCGAAAATAATCGAGGCATTGGCCATATTCCCATTGCCTCTAAACATCTCACGGGTATGACTATTTGACGACTTACTGGTTCTGGTGAGAGTCAAATCACTGAATGTCATGTTGACTTCCAACCTGGTCGTGGTTAGATCAACCACAAGTTTACCCTCAAGGGTTAGACCAGAGACTACAGATGATCAACTATGGTGGTTTTCCTTTATCTGTAAGCCGCCCTTGATTCTGCTGATCAAGCCGACTGTGGCATTGCTTATCCGTGAAAAGTGTCTTTCCGAAGTCTCTCCACTGTGACTTTCGAGCACGAGTTAGGGTCTACGGGGAAATTCTATCCCGAGTTCCCTAAGACACGTGGGGTTCACGAGTTGTCTTATATCTCCACCCTAATACAACATTGTTATGGAAATGATCATGAATGACTCCGTAACGTCTTTTTCTTTCGGAGTGGACATGCTGTCAGATGGCCGATTGACAGCTTGAATATGCGGACGGTCCAGCTCTTTTTGCGTCTGGAGTAAAGGCTACACAAGCTGCTGAATAGATCGACGCGTAGCGCTGCACGTTTCAGCGTGTGCTTCGCAACGTTAAAGTTCAAAGTACTGTTGCAGGGCGGAACCGATGTGCCACCGGTTTTAGATATCCCTGGACAGCCACTGGAAACGGTGGATCGGTTCACTTATTCAAATAAATAAAGGCTCCGTTCTCGGACGATAAAGAGATAATAGTTGTGTCACCTCTGGTGGACATATAAGTGAGGTCACGTCGAGTATCAACGAATGCCAGAGGCTCAACCACCTATGACGGCGGGATAACAGTCTGTTAGGGAAAAGTAGGGAGCATAACGCTGCGAAAGGTCCGGCTACTTTATTGACCAGACTTGGCCAGTTTACAGTGGACATTGAACGCTTGGTCGTGTTCGATCACTGGGTAAGTAATGCTGAGGTGTGCCAGTTGGTTAATGGCAAGAGTCCTTTTGGTGCCCCATTCGAATGCTTGCTTAAGCTCAACCGTTTACGTGATCTAGATCAAGTCCTCCGTATGCCTGCTGACAACCTTCAGAGTGCATAACATACAGTCGCCGCACCAAGTTGAGCGAAACCGCGGTGGCCAGTCGATGGCATGGCATAAACAAATTGACTGAGAAACGCGGTCAGGCTGGTGCGACTTCCTCGCTGATGGCGACCCCGGAATGGTTTCATCATCATCATCAACCGCAGTACATCAGCCACTTGAACTGATGCATCGCTACCATACAACCAAGAGGACCGGAATGGTTTACGTCAGTGGTGCGGTCAGTGAAGTTAGTGCTTACATCTAGTTAAGTTTCAACCCCTATTCCTTTTGTACATGTCTTGATCTCATTTTCCTGGAATTTTATTTGCGTTAAATGCTTTTTTACCAGTTAGTTGTTATACTGGCGACGTTAGTCATGGCAACTGGGTTAACCGCATCTCGGTGTGCGGATCATAATTGCTCAATTGTATTGAACTATACAAAGAATGTCAATGGTACTATAATCCCCTTCTAACAAGGTGGTTAGTGACAATGATCTACGGGAGGCGAAATCGATGGCTCTTACAGTAACTACCTGACTGAAGGCGTGTGGAAATGTTTACAGATCACTGCGGAAATCGAGTGGACCCAGACGTGATGGGCCAATGAACATCTATAGTGCGGAATGTTTGATCGCGAGCGCTGCGTTGTCCGGGTCATTTTGTAGCCTCGAGAACAGCGGAAAATAAGACGAAACAAAATACCTAGTGACTAAGACACTTGAGACAAACTGAGCCAGTGACGAGATCAGTCGAGGAAATTGACGAAATGCAAAAGAGAAAGGTGACGAAGGTCAGGTGTAGGCATGAAGAAGTGTTTAATGAAAGGCCAACAGGGCGAACCCGAAGCATGAAATAGCTCCATCAATAGCTAAGAACGTATGAGGTAAAATGGATATAAAAGACGACCCCTAAACCAACCATGCAAGTGAGTAGTAACGAAGTGCGACGTGAGAAAAATAAGTGGCAATTAGTAGCTAAAAACTAGAGCATTCAATAGCATAAACTAAAGGAAAGAGATTAGCCCTGTAAGACATGAGGCAGGGAAACATGCGACAAAGTTTGGATAAGCCTAGTGCATGGCAGCACCCAGCAATGATCGCAAAATGGGACGCAAGGCAATAAAGTGGAGAGGGATACTGGAATTCAAGCACTCCAAGCTACACAGCAGGAGTTTATTTGAAGCCGCCTGGGATTAGACGCAAGCAGAAAGAAAGGTTGTAAGATTGCGCAGCGTTAGGAGGGCCAGCCACCGAAATGACATAAACGCAGGAAAGAACAGTAAAAAGTGTGATGTTAACCGAATAGTGAACAAACGCACCTGAGGATTCTGGTTTGTGAATGTCGCTTAACCGTGATTCGATACTTGGGGTAATGCACTCATTCTGTTGGGCTTGAGCACTTCTGTGACACTTGGAACAGAGGCCATCGAAATTGGGACTGCCAAAAAAACCGCAGTTTTTGCGGCAAAGAGGAATATTCTGCTGCTGATTATTCTCCTCCATGTTAATAGCAGTGTGCGGCAAATACCACAACGCTCAAATAGTGGGAAAACGCTAAGACCAGTGAACCGGAAGAGCGGCAAGAGGAGAAACCGCAGAACCGGCAGCAGAAAACTCTGACTAAGATAATGCCCAATTTTCGCGCCAATGGTAAAAGGCTTTCAAACACAACTGCGACGTACCAAATCATTGTCCCGACAAAAAACTTAAATTATTGTAATGTTGCATTATAATGTAATGAGCGGTTTTCAATCTGTTCACATATTGCCGCATATTTGAAAAGCTTGACGGTTGATTTCTTTGTTCACACCCTCGTTTAATCAACACTGAAAAAGATAGCCATTTCAGTGTTCGTTCTACAGGTGCATTTCAAGCATTAGCTGTTCTTTTAACCTTTACGGGACTTGCATCAGACCCCACCAAGAGTACTGCGCCCAAGCCTGCCGCTTGCTTGGCGTGGGACTAGATGGCAGTGGGTAGCGCGTCAGAGAGTCGCAGTAGCAAATCAACAGGTAAGTTGGCTTCGAGAGTAGCCTATATTGTGGTCGTCTTTTTCTATGCTCTCTACCCAGTTCGGCTTCGGTGCTGTTGGTGTAGCCACCTGCCGTGCGCTTTCACTCCTTCCATCTACTCGCCTCGCGCTCTGTCCTCTTTCGGCAGCTGTGACAATACCGCCCAGCTAGCCACGAGATGCGACACAGGCACACCCTTCATCCAGCTCCCGGTGGTTTTCCAGCCGCCTACGAAGTGTCTCTCTGGCCTTTCAGCGCCCTCGGTCCAATACGACACAGTAGCCCTAGGCACCCCCCAACCGGATGCATAGTACACAGTGGAGCGCGTTTTGAGGATCGGCACCTACTTGGTGTGGGGACTAAGACGTGTGTCATATCCCGAGAGATTGCTTGGTGTAACACTTTTTCTGCACAATGTAGCATTAGTAACTCTATTACTTTTGGGTTGGTGACGCTTTTATTACTTTCGTACTTCTGTAACTTATTGTCCGTGACCGATGCAGCGGGGACTGACAATGCAGGTGGCGTTGGTATTGATTGGTTAACCGTGGCGGGATTTGCGCATGCTGATTTTACTCTTATAGCTTCCGGTTATCGAAAATGCATAATATTCCGGATCAACAACGCGGCACGGAAGAAACACCTACGGGAATTTATCCTACTGTTCCAGTCTCCCTTGAACACGTACTTGAACTTGGACTGATCCTTACCTAAGGCATCTTGTCGGATCCCATTACTTCTTGCTTATCTCGCCGCTTTCTTCCGGTCCAACTGACGACTCTTTGTAAGCATTTAAAGAAGCTTTACAGGGCTCTATCCGATCAGGCGTGGACTGGTGTCCAGTTACAGTGTTGGGTTATTTATCCTTGGAGCTTCCTGCCTGAGGATGTATGTTGACACCGACCGTAGAGACTTTTGAACACTGACTTAACGCTCTAGGTTTGTAACTGCAACGCTTCTTCCTCACAGCTTACTCTGAAATAAACATTTCCATTCGTGTTTTCTTGCCTTGGTTCCCAAAGTTTAGTTTACTTTAGCGCTTGGTTATTTCAGTTACCTTTGCTTAGTTTTGCATTTTAGTTTGCTGTATTTCCATTTCACGTGTCTACCAAATCAGGGACTGTTAGTGCCATACACGTGGACAATGGCTGGTTCATTCTTCATTTTTGTTGCTTTGTGAAGAACAACCCCATCACTTCTCGCTCACTGTAGAAAGCATGTAAGTTGATAGGGCACAGCTTTACACAAGGGAGCATTGCGGTTACAGTCAACATGCTAAGATTCTTTCTTTTCTAGCAACTAGATTACTAGTAATCGTTTGAAACATTCCGCCATTTGCGCTGTGACTATTAGGTTAGGTAAACTGTTCCAGGCATGCACCACATGGGCTGACAAAGTGACATCATGGCGAACCCAAAGCCTCCTTAGTTTAAATAGCTTCAACTGTCTACACAAAGAAAATTACGCTTTTATCTCATCCCTCATCGCACCACCGAGAATATGTCGCTTGTACCTCCTCACCACGGCGACGACCATACTACAAGTTGAACAAGCTCATCTTCGAAGGCGTTGAAAGTAAGACAGACCCCGAAGTGTCATGAGGGCCTTTTGCTACCCGCCGCTGAACCTTCTATAGCCATACGCGTTCTTTTTTCGTGAGAGAACGGGATACTGGCAATCCATACGCAAGAATTGGTTGAACATTAGTGTAGAAGTGAAGTCGGAACACCACCAAAATCCTCTGTGAAATGGATCTCTTTATAACAAAGAACATCCTGTTAGGAGCGGCAACTTTCTGTAGTGTGTCTTGCGTCGTGCGTAGGTTTCGCGATACAAGCACCCTAAAACCCTTATTCTAGGTTGCGTTCCTGTGCACGAAGCCCCAATGTGATAAAAATCAAAGGGGTCCGCGGCACCAATTTGCAGACAAAACACTTGGCATTTTTAATGGATAGGTGCCACCACATTGACAACAGTAGAACTGGCCCAGCATTGTCGATACCAGTTAAGTCTCTTCAAGCTTGGACAACTCTAGACACAGTGTATGATTATCAGCATATAGGCGGCCATCCATTTGCAGCTTAGATGGAAGATCATTGAGATAGATTTTGAAGAGCTCAGGACCATGGAGAGAGCCATGTGGGATCCGCTGGCCATAAAACTGGTTTAGAGTAGGTACTGTTCCCTTTAACTTGCACACTTTATTACCCGGGAACGCAGCGACCCAGGAGAGAATCTTTCCAGCGACGCTGCTTCCCTGGCGTCTGAAATGGAGAGGTCCAAGAAAAACTTTGTCAAATGCCCCGCTGAAGTCGAGGAAGACGACAAGCAAACGATTGCTGGCATCCAGCGATCTTGCCCATTTGTTTCTCGCCACAAGCAAGTTAGAGAAACAGGAAGGTGGTTCCTGAAACCCAAGTACAGCATGAGACGATTTGCAGGTTCTCCATGAGAAGCTTTAAGGCGCGCTTAAGAATTCTTTCTATGAATTTACGAAGTATCGATGTCAGACAGATCGGCCGGTATAACCGCGATGTGGCGCACGTACTGCTTGTACATTCTCAGGAGACAAAACGGACCTCCAGAACGCACAGCGGCTCCACGATGCCTTCACACTGGAACATATATAGGATCCTCCTCTTGTTAGCAGTAAACGTTTCTCCATCCCGACCTGTCATTTTCTTGTTGCGTTCTCTGATTTCAATCCTTCTTCAATGGGACAGCCAACTTTCATTGCCCTACCCTAACCTAACCTCATCTGGCCAGTCTGCTTCACATTAACTTCTTCCAGAACACCAGGATGTTAACGTGCTAGACTCCGTAGATGCCACGTAATGCCTCACACATATCGGTACCCTGCTGCATTTGTGCGCCCTAGGTTAATATGGCTACTTCTGTCTCTAACCTGGCCAATTCTACTGACTCACTCCATTTATTTTCTCAAATGAACTATATAACTCAGTCAGAGTGCACCGACCAATCCAGTCTCGTCTGATCAGTCTCCTTCTCTCTGACTTGTGACGTTGCCGACCAGTGCTCGGAAGACTGAACGCTCTGTCACCATTACCTTGAGAGCCACGGTAACCGTCCCATTTCTTACCTGTAAACGTTTTCTCTCCACTCTCTCCTCTCCTAATGGCGCTCACTCGCTTTATTTCTTCTTCAGCCGGAGAGCAAGCCCTCAGTGCCCTGCCCTCTTCTCCTCTTTGACTGTTTCCAGAATATAGAAATGTAGGTGTTTTAGGCTCGGCATAACCAACACTCAGATTCTGTAACTTCGCGAGCCTGCCTGACGTGCATACCCTATTTACATATAGCCTCTTCCATCCCAAACCCGTCCGTCTCTGCTACCTCTTTATTTGTCTTCCAACCTTAACTGTATGACTTAAACTCAATGCGCCGACTAATGCAGTCTCGTCTGATCTGTCTCCTGCTCTCCGAGTTCTCTCAGACCGCTGTTACGCTACCGTCATTTGTTGGGAAGACCGAACGATCTGTCCCCATTACCTCGTGAGCCTCATCGACTTTTCCACAAGTTATAAGTATATCTCTCTATCGCGACCCTTTCCTCTCCTATAACGCCCTCTGCTTGCCTTTCTTTAATCGGACTGCCAACTCTCAGCGCCCTGCAATAACCTGGTCTCATCTGACCGGTCTCTTACTTTTACCTTTTCCAGACCAGCGAGATGTAAACGGTCAAGGCTTTGTAGGCTCAAATTTACGTCTCTCGCAACACGACAGCATGCTGGATATGTTCATCCTTTAGCAATATAGCCACTTCCACCTCTAACATCTCTATTTCTTTACCCATTCCCTTTGTCCTCCAAGCTTAGCTGTGCGACTAAATCTCATTGCGCAGCTTGATTCAGTTTCGTCAGATCGGTCTCCTGCTCTCCGACTTCCCTCAGACTGCCTTGACCTTACTAGTCGTGGTTCAGATGACTGAACGCCGGCTGTTTTCAAACCTTCTTCAATATGGCAGCCAACTATCAGTGAGCTACCCTAACATGGCCGCATCTGACTACTGTTTCTCTGTGACTTATACCAGACAACCGTGACGTTTACGGTCTAGGCTCTGTCGATTCAAATCTGTCTCCTTCACCTCGACAGTCTGCTAGACTTGTTCACCTTAGTTTAATATAGCCGCTTCTATCTCTGACCTGTCCATTTCTTCTGATTCACTCCAACTGGCTTCTCAAATCAAGTGTACGACTTAATCTAAATGCGCCGACTAATCCAGTGTCTTCTGATCTGTCTTATTCTCTCCGACTATTGTGACGTTACTAGCCATTTTTCGGAAGACCTAAGGCTCGGTCGCCACAACTTCCAGAGCCAAGTAGACTTTCCCATTTCTTGTCTATAAAACTTTTCTAGCTCGACTCTCTCCTCTCCTTATCGCACTTTGTCTTTATTTCTTCCTCAGCCGGAGAGCCAGGTCACAGTGCCCTGCCCTAGTCTACGTGGACCAGTCTGCTTCTCCTTGACTTCTTC